TCATTCCCCCTACTGCCATTTTCCCTCAGTCCCCAAAGTTCCTTATATCATTCTTATCCTTTATGTCCTCACAGTTTAGCTACCACTTTTAAGTGAGAACATTGGATATTTGGTGTTCCATTCCTGAGTTACTTCACTTAGAATAATGGCCTCCAGCTCCATCCAAGTTGCTGCAAAGGCCGTTATTTCATCTGTTTTACAGCTAAGTAGTATTCCGTGGTGTACATGTACCACATTTTGTTTATCCACTTGTTAGTTGATGGGCATTTAGGTTGATTCCATATTTTTGCAATTGCAAATTGTGCTGCTATAAACAATGAGCATTATTTTTAAACCTGACAAGGCTGCTACCAGGACAGTACTATTGAATTATTGGCTTATTTTACAGCTGAAATAATTGAGAATCAAATGACTCAGTGATTGAATAATTTTCCCGAAGTCTCAAAGCTGGCTGTACAGAGAGTAACAATTAATCTAGCCTCACATTTTCAGTACTCTGTGATGTTAAAAAGTTAGCAAAAAGTTAAATAGCAATAATAATGATAGTGGCTAATATTTATTTAAATATTAATATTTAATAGTGGCTAATATTTAATCATGTACCAGATATGATTCTAAGTGCTTTACAGTATTCATTTAATTCTCAAAACTACTTCATGAAAGAGATGTTAGTATTGTCACCATTTAGCATTTGAGAGAAACAAAATGCAGGATAGGTAAACACAAATGAAATGCTGTCAAAAAGCTAAGCTATTGATGTTGCACCCAAGAGGGGAGGATTGTCTATTTCATCAGTTATTATTTTCATTAATATAGTTGGTTTATACTTTTGCTCTATGAACTCATTATTTTAAGTTGAGTTTGGTAAATTTGAATTTTCTTTATTTTAGTAATTGTCTATTAGGAATGTAAATATTAATTAGTAATAAATGGAAGTAAAGTGAGGTGGAATAAGAACAGTAACAATGGGCTATTGGTGATTTCCAACCGGTCTTATTGATATGAACCTGTTTGTCACACAACGTAGAGAGAAACCTCAGAACCTTTAAATTGAATTATCATGGTGAGATATTTTACTGTGTGGTACACTCCTAACACAACAAATGACTGGAAATAGTTGCACAGGTTTATGTAATTAAACAATTAAAAAATATCAATTGATTATATTGAATGACCACATGCACCTGTAAACTTATTGAACAAATAAGCGCACATTTATAGAAGAAAAAAACAAATATCTGTATTCCTAGTGCTAAGTGATTCAAATTGTATTATTATTCAAATTGTATTATTAATTTTCTGTGAAAGCATATTAACTTTTATATGGGGAAGATACTGTTCCATAGGATTTTTGTGGAAATTTCCGGAATTGTATCATAATGGACCCCTTTTAATCAGAATTTGTATGTTGATGTCTTGCTTAGCCTTAATGATTCTAATGCTGTGAGATCAAAGAGCATTTTGTAAGATATTTTATAGTAAGGTTGAAGGATATTTCAGTCTTCTGAATCAAATTCTTCTCATCAAACTTCTGTCAGACAACCTTCTTGTGTTCATAAAAATATGAATACAAATAATAACACATTTGAATTATAGTGTCTTATTATAAAGATAACTTGCGATTAAAGACTTTTCTAACTTTAGATTTACAAATCAGTCATTAGTTTGGAATAAACTATCATATTTGCAAATTTATTTAATGTAGGAAATAAAGACTTAATAGATACAGGTTTTATACATTCCTGTTGAAGATATTTAAGAATAGCTTATTTCCACTGCAGTTCAGTATACATTACATATTGAGGTGTATATTGCATATCATATTTCAGTGTATCATTTCTAATTTAGATAATAATTTTAAATTATTCATCAAATACTGTATTCCTTTCTTTGTTATACTGATGAGAATATATTACCAACAGTAATATATTTTTTGCTTACTTTTCCTGCTGTGCTCATGTTGTTTCTGTCTTCTCTGCAGACCAGGAGACTGGTAAGTCTTTGTGGATTTCTTCTCTGCTTCAGTGCATAAAGCAGATGTATTGCACAGATATTTATTTTGTTGCTTGTGTAACATCCAATTCCAATTCCACATGTGACCGATGTCTTTAAGCCACACCCATTGGATTATTCTCAGACTGTCAAAACAAAGAAAAGGGTACTGAACCAGCCATCAACATATTGACTTCCAAATTCCAGATAAGATTTTGTTTTCATTAGGTTAAATATTAAGTTAAAGTGATAAATTGTAATCATTTCCTCTTTTCCTCACTCTTCCCCCAGCCTCTGGAATTCCTTGTTTCTCTTCTCTCAATCCTACATTGGTCGTTTTGCCTTGTATGCTCTTTGTCTGCACTAAGCTGTAACTTTGAATTCACATGGGGTGGCTACGAAGGAAGAGGAGTAAGGAAACAGGAAAAACGAAGTAGGGCAGAGAGAGCACCCTGGTTGTCTTTAAAGCAGAGAATCAGACTCCCAATTAGTCACAGCAAAGGGGATCACTGTGCCTGGCAATTCTGCTCCACTCAAAACTAGTAAGTATGGACTGAACCCCTCCCTGTATCAGGCACTAAGTTGGGTCCAGTGGAGTAGCAGTGATGAATAAGACATGACCTCTGCCTGTGCCAAGAGACAGTATGGGGCAACAGTGATGGCATGGCTTTTGGGACCAGGCCAACCCTATTTCTTACTTGTTCTGTGTACTTCGACTTATTATTTCACTGAATTTTTTTTGCCTTAGTTTCCTTATGTGTAAGATGAAGATGAATAATGGCATCATTTTAAAGGACTGTTTAGTGAATAAAGGAAAAATCCATGTAAAACACTCATCATGGAGTTTGGCAGATGGGAGTACCCTCCAAAATGTTAGCTGCAATTATTATTCATAAAAGGAAGTTCACGGTTTATGGGGAAAAGACACACAGGCAACCAAGTCTACATATCAGCCTGACTGGGAAGTGCCCTATCACAGGGGTCAGTTAGTGCTTTGGGAACAGAGACAGAGTTGCTATTCAGAATGAAGGACTCGGGAGACATTGTAGAGGAACAGACATTTGAGGTGGATTTGAAATAATTGTGAGAAATGGAGCAAAATCCTCACTGGATCATTTCCATTGCCCTTTGATCAGTGTAACAAGTATCCTCATGACTTTCTAAGAATAGGAGTTTGATTTTTCTTTTATCCACACTTGGAGGCATCATAAAACTATAGAGGCAACTATTTAATTATATATAGTCTGTCAATATGAACATATTAGCATAAAGGACATATTTCTCTAAAATTGCCAAGGGAACACTTCAGTAAACTTTAATTATGTAGGCACTGAGACTCACACCAAGACCGAGAAACATTCACCCAATGGAAAAGCAAAGGAGGTCCTACGATTTCAGTTGCTTCTCATTTGGAAAGGTATAAGGGAAAGGAGATAGCCCCAGATAACCTGGCTTTAGCCTTCTCATCCAACTATTTCTCCCATTCTCCAATACAAGGCCCATGCTCTTTAGAAGCTTGTATCTCTGTGGTCCTCCAAAGAGGAATCCATTCCTCACTCAAGCTCTTGCTCATCATGCTCTTTCTCTTCCCTCTGTCTCTTTGGCCCATTCAAATCCTACCCAAACTTTGAGAGCCACAAGGTCTCTTGAGAGCCGACCTTGAGAGCCAACAAGGTCGCCCTTGTGGAGGTATATTAACTCCATCTCACAGTCGTGCTTCACTTCTCTCCATCCCTGTCATACTAGCATCCCTCCTGTGGTTTTAGGGTCTATTCCCTTTTGTTGCCATTTATATTTAGTGTAGAGACAAGTCTCCTAAATTCTACTGGAAATTTCTGGTCAGGGATGTTTTTAAATTTCATTTAAATCATCAGCTGTACCTAGTTTCATGTGTAGAATAGGTGTTTAATGAAAGATTGTTGAATTCTCGTGCTTCTTTATGTTAGGACAGGCACTGTTCTATAAGCAGTCCAATAATAGAGAAGATTCAGTGTCTCCTTTTTAAGGGATTACATATTAGCAGTGGGATTGGCTGTGTTCAGGTAGAGAAGATAGAGAACCCTCCTGTGAAGCAGGAAGTGGTCAGTGCCAGGAGAAAGTTAAACGTGGAATCAAAAGAGGAAGACTCTACTTCGTCTTTGCATTGTGCACTCTCAGCTCTTAACTTAATGCATGGCACAGGGTGATCGTTCAGATATTTGTTGACTAAATTAAATGAATGACATCTAATTTGAGAGTGAGGAAGCCTTGAAAGAAAGATATTTTATTAAGATTTAGTAAGAAAGATGAGTTGCAATTGAGAGGTATAGATCCAATCAACATATGGACAAATAATCTTGAAAACATTTTTCTCCTCTAGTACCCCCTTTCATACATTTTTCTGTTTAATCCTCTCTCACACCTATAGACAGAGCATTTCAAGGAATTATAGCCCCTACCGCCTTGTTTTCAAGGCCCTAATGGATTTGGAAATGTGATATCCACTCATGAGCTTCCATTGCTTCATGAACACATGGCTCCATGAACTGCCAAAAGCACTTTGGGACAAACTCCATAGAGCCAGGAGATCTTTCTTAATACCATCCGGCAGCTACTCTGTGCTTACTCTTTGCCTCACCTTCTAAAAGTTTAAATGGCTGTGGAGGGAGGAGCAGTTGTCACATGATTGAGTGTCAGTGTTCTAGTATCAGAGGGCCATGGCAGGCCTGGAGCAACATCTGGAATGTCCAAAGATAACCCTGTCAATCTCTAGGGGTCACAAGGCATCACTTTCCTCTGCTTCTTTCTCTGTGTGTGTCTCTGTAAGCCAGCCCAATTCTATATTACATTTCCACCAAGTACTATATCCTAAATTCAGCTTATCCAGAGAGATGATATGCTTGGTTCAGTTTGGGTCAGCAATCCCCTGTGTGCTAGGCAGAATAATGGCCCTCAAAGATGTCCACTCCTAACCCCTGGAATCTAGGATTATGTTGCTTTACATGGAAAAAAATGGATTTTGTAGATGTGATTCAGTTAAAGGTCTTGAGATGGGAAGATTAGCTTGGATTATCCAGGTGAACCTAACCTAATCTTATGACTTCTTAAAACTGGAGAGCTTTTCCAGGTTGTGGTCAAAGAGGGAGATGTGTCTACCCACAGACCGTAGACGGCCATGTTTGCTACAGAAGTGTGTTAATTTTCTATTACTGATGTAACAAATT